GTCCTCTCCTCCTCTATCTTCTCCTTCTTCATTTCTTTTCTCCTCCTCCTTCTTATTGTTTTTCTTCTCTTCTTCTTCTCGCCCCACACATCACTCTCTCATCTTTTCCCATCCTTTACCATAGAGAACCTAATGTGACCCTGTGTTTACCGAACATCTACGTAAAACTTTCCAACATTGGATAACATACATCTTCTTGGTTAAAAATCCGAATCTAATTTATCTTCATTACCTTATCCTGCAATTTTCAACACTGTGTAAAACAGTGCTCAAGGAAAGTTTATATTATCCGTATTCTTCGATGTCTATGAACTATTGACAAAAAGCTCGTGTCCTGTTATCTTCGTCTGACGTCGAACACTAATTGGTGGAAATCACGTTAACCAAACTCTAATAAGTTCATTCTAAAACACGAGATTCTTTCTAAAGTATATATCACAGAAGTTGTGTATGTAACTGCATTACGTATATTGTCATATCACACACACGCACGCACACATACACGCGCAAACAAACACACACACACACCACACACACACACACACACACACACACACACACACACACACACACACACACACACACACATACACACACACACACAAAATGCCTCTACATTAATTTCTTTAAGAATCTAATCACTAATGTTCTTTTCGTGACCCCGAATGTCATTAGAAAACGTTACATTCGTATCAATCCTGCTCACTTCCAGGCCTCTTGGTTGAGGTGACTGAGGTGTGTTGCAGCTCCCCCGCTCTCCAGTAAATCAAAGTATAGAAATGCAATCTATCTTTTACAAAGAAAGTTGCCGAGAGAGAGAGAGAGAGAGAGAGAGAGAGAGAGAGAGAGAGAGAGAGAGAGAAAGAGAGAGAGAGAGAGAGAGAGAGTGAGAGAGGAGGGGGGGAGAGAAAGAGAAAGAGATATAGAAAAAAAGAGAGAGAGAAAAAAAAAGAGAGAGGGGGGGGAGAAAGAGAGAGAGAGAAACCGAGAGAGCGAGAGAAAGAAAGAGCGAAAGCGAGAGAGCGAGAGAGAATGAGAGAAAGAGAGAGAGAGAGAGAGAGAGAGAGAGAGAGAGAGAGAGAGAGAGAGTGAGAGAGGAGGGGGGGGAGAGAAAGAGATATAGAAAAAAAGAGAGAGAGAAAAAAAAAGAGAGAGGGGGGGGGAGAAAGAGAGAGAGAGAAACCGAGAGAGCGAGAGAAGAAAGAGCGAAAGCGAGAGAGAATGAGAGAGAGAGAGAGAGAGAGAGAGAGAGAGAGAGAGAGAGAGAGAGAGAGAGAGAGAGAGAGGAGGGGGGGGGGAGAGAAAGAGAAAGAGATATAGAAAAAAAGAGAGAGAGAAAAAAAGAGAGGGGGGGGAGAAAGAGAGAGAGAGAAACCGAGAGAGCGAGAGAAAGAAAGAGCGAAAGCGAGAGAGCGAGAGAGAATGAGAGAGAGAGAGAGAGAGAGAGAGAGAGAGAGAGAAAGAGAGAGAGAGAGAGAGAGAGAGAGCGAGAGAGAGAGAGACAGAGAGAGAGAGAGATCGTATGCCAATGACAATGAAGTATTGCATGTGATCACCACTGTACCCAGAGTGGCGTTGTCGGATGTTGAACTTCATTTTATTACTATTGTTTGTTTTTTTTTCCCAGTCTTTTTGTAATCTTTTTCTTTTTTTACTTTTATCGGATTATTTGCTGGTCTGTCTACGGCTAATCTCCACTGAGCTTTTTACGCAAATATTTCTCTCTTTTATTTAAGTTCGATGGTATTTATTTTACAAGCTGATATTGAGTTTATTTCATTATTCATTATTTTTAGTATTTGCTAATAATGATTTTTGTTGTTTCTTCTTATTCCTACATTTTCCCCCCTTTTTTGTGTGTGTTTAAAGATATCTATTTCTTCTCATCCTTTTGCATGATATCACGTACAAATATTTTTACATAATACTAAGAACTTTTATTGAATTCCTCTTTTGTTTCTACACACACACGAAGTCCCAAATAGTTAATTTGTTTGTTTGCATTTTTACGACTCCAGGAATCCTAGGAACACTTGTGAGTCTAAAAAAAGGGCTGAATATTAATACACACTGCAAAAAAATAAACAAAAGTCTGCAACGTCTAATTGTTCTTCGGACAATGTTATTACATTCACCCTCTCTTGAAATGGAGAAAAATGGAAGGGGAGAATAAAGAAAGAAAAGAAAAGCGCAGGGAAAGATAAACTAAAATTTGAAAAAGAATAAATAAAAACAAATAAGAATAAAAGAAAAAGAAAGAAAGAAAACCATGGAACAAAATGGGGAGGGAAAATTCATCCCAAATAAATGTACTTTGTCTGTCTAACTCTCTCTCCTCTCTCTCTCTCTCTCTCTCTCTCTCTCTCTCTCTCTCTCTCTCCCTCGGGTTGCGTCAGTGGCGATAATTCAGCCTCTGTTGGTGACAGGTTGAAATATAGAGTGGAAGCCGTGAGCTCTCTTTTTCTCCCTTGATCAGAATAGACTTTAGGACAGAAAAGAAACTCTATTTAGTTTACTGAGAAAGAGGAAGAGGGTGGGGGTGGGGTGAGGATGGTAATGGGGATGAGGGTGGGAGAAGGGAGAAGGGGGAAGGGGGAAGGGGATGGAGGATGAGGCAGCGTGCAAGATAGATTCCTTCAAGCAATTCTTTGTCTGGGTACTTGAGCTTCCTCGACATCGCGAGGCAAAATAGCCAATGCAAACTACTGGCTTTTCGTCCTCGGGGGAAAGAAAGTAACGCAACTCGGCCCAAAGAGCTGATTTTCCCCCGTCTTATGCTTGAGCCTTATGCTTTCTCACTGCAAGAGGATATATTAATCTCTGCACAAAGGAGCACCGAATTCTGTTTCACCAAACTTAACACTTAGCTTTTATACGTCGATTGAGTTTCTCACAGATTTCTCTTTGTATAATCTTATATCGCATTTTCTGTCAACACTGCATTGTCTGCATTTCAAGATGACAATACACACACTGAAATATATTGCGTGCCATGTTGATTTACATTGCAGTACACTGGCTCAGTTCATGGCGTTATCAGGTCAGTATTGTATATACATACCCTGTTCGTTAGCGACGTGAATGGTCATATCCTGCGCCGTTCGGTTCTCTTAATCCCTGCGCTGCTCTGTTCTTACTTGCTTGTTCATGGACTGCGTTGTTCTCGTTCGAGGATTTTGTTCAAAGTACACAACTACACTGCATTACATTTCTGTTCATTGTTCCCCATCGTCTCTCAGCTGTGATATTCCCTTCATTTCTCGCTCAGTTACTTCGTCTCAAGGTGTGAGATTTTCGTCTCGAAGCCTCCTGCGCCTCCTTAGCATACATCCTCTTCAGGTTTTCCTCCTTAAAAGATCTAGAGCTCTGCGTACTTCCCTCTTGTCTTTCCTTTCAAGCTTCCTCGCGAAGGGAAAAAAA